AACCCGCCACCTTAGGTGTACGTGGCTGGCGCCTTAGCCGGTTGAGCTATAGGCGCCGAGCCAACTAGGATGTTTTATTAACCTTCATTTGATACAACTGACTTTAAATATTAATTCGCTATAGTTTTCCCTAATTCATTTATTTATCAGGAATATTTCATAAATATTTTTATAAAACACAATTTGTAAGCCTTATATTCATAATCATTAAGTTATATTTAAAAGCTTCTTTTTTCTTGAACACTTGTTTCCTATACCCATAGGAACGAAGACTATTATTTAAACTCACTTGTCCACGTTGTGAATGATCAGAGATAACAACTTCTTTTCTCCTAGACATTTTTGACCGTTTATTTGGACTAGATATTCTTGAGTTCCACATATAATAGAATTTTTTCTGATGAAATCACCTTTAAAATTTTTCAAGCAGAAGAAAATAGTAGGGAGAGAAACAGAAAAAAATAAAGAGGCACAAGAGCTACCATTAGACAAATATGAAATAATCCCTGGGAAAGGCTAATTCCTCTTCAAGGAGAGAGGAGAAAGTTTAAATGTAAGCCATAATCCATGCAGTTAAAAAAAAAAAGAAAAAAGCCCTGAAGTATGGAAATAAAAAATGGGCAGTCTTCTGTATTAAACAAAGTGATGTCTCTAGACACATAAGACAAACACTTTCCTCCTGAAGTTTTGATTGTTTTTATATTTGCTGTTCTTCTAAAGTCCCTCTCAAATGAACTGGCTTCTTCATGTCAGAGTTCTCCAAAGTTCACCAATGCCTTGGTAAAGTTGTGGCAGGAGATAGTGCAGATTTATTATCTGACAAACCCGTGAAAAATTGGCTGACATTCTGTCAAAAGTAAGAACACTGTTATGAGTGTGTCAAGGCTTAACCCTAAAGATAAACCCCGCCGCGTGCTGACCTAAGGAGCATGAAGAGGCCGTGCCCTGTGAGAAGGAGGTCTCTCCTGAAGCAAACTCCTCATGCACAGACAAAACTGAGGAACGTTTTCTTATTTATTTATTTTTTTTCTGAGACAGAGTCTCACTTTGTTGCCCTTGGTAGTGCCATGGCATTATAGCTCACAGCAACCTTGAACTCCTGGGCTCAAGTGGTCTTCTTATCTCAGCTTACCAAGTAGCTGAGATTATAGGCACCCCCCACAGTGCCTGGCTGTTTTTAGAGACTGTCTCTCTCTTGCTCAGGCTGGACTCCAACTCCTGAGCTCAGGCAATCCACCCACCTCGGCCTCCCACAGTGCTAGGATTGCACAGGTGTGAGCCACCACGCTGGCCTAGACTGAGGGAAGTTTTCTTTCTTTCTTTTTTTTAATTGAATGATAACTATGTACATTAATGCACTTCTGGGGTACAGTGTGGGGTTGTTGCTCACAATCCGAAATACTTCCATCAGACTGGTTAACATAGCCTTCATGTCATTTTCTGTTATTACTCTAAAATGTTCACATTCTACTCTTAGATTCACTTGTACCCTTGTAAGATAAACCTCAGAAGTGATTCCTCCAATCTCCCTCCACCCATTTCCCCCTCCCCTCTCCCTCCCCCTTCCCCGTATTCTTAGTCTGTTATTAGGTTATAGCTTTCATATAAAAAGGTTTAAATTAATTTCATAATAGGTGTGTGTACATTGGATACTTTTTCCTCCATTCTTGTGATACTTTGCTCAGAAGAACATTCTCCAGCTCCATCCATGTGAACATGAAGGATGTAAAGTCTCCATTCTTCTTAATGGCTGCATAGTATTCCATGGTGTACATATACCATAGTTTGTTGATCCATTCGTGGATCGATGGGCACTTGGGCTTCTTCCATGACCTGGCATTTATGGGGAAGTTTTCATTGACAAATAGTATGAGATGGGGTGTCAAGCAGAGAAGGCAGGAGACTGTACTTAAAGCCAAAGACTCCAGAGAACACCAAAGTCTCCCTAGAAGCCCTAAATCTCAGGAGATGATAATAAACAGAATGCTGGGGCAAAAGTCCTGAATCTGGATTTAATGCAAAATCCACATGCTTGGGAACAGAGGGGCCTCAAGAGGTCTCAGATATGTGCGTCAGTACCAAATCCAAGGTCCCAATCCAGGCAGGGAAGGTCTTGGCCAAACCCTGGTTGAATCTCAAAGTTAAATCAGCCCAATAAATCTAAGGCCACCAAGGATAACCCTCTACTTTACAAAGTCAGGTTTTTGACTTTGGCCAGTGCAATGAGGGAGACCACACATCAGAAGTGGGGGACTCTAAATGAAGGGTCAGATTACATTATAGGATTTGGGGAAAGAGCGGAGTTGAGGTGACATTTAAGTGGGGTTTTGACTCAAAGCAAACCAGACTGCTTTGAACTGTTTATTTGGACTAGATATGCTTGGATTGCACATATAACAGAAGAAGTTTTTCTGATGAATCCACCTTTAAAATTTTTCGAGTGGAAGAAAAAAGTAGGGAACGAGCTGCACGTAACAGTATCGATATAAGGCCTGCACAGCAAAGTGGATCCTAGTTCTGTTCCCTTAAAAAATGATCAAGTTTGGGTGGTGAACGCTGAGTACTGAAGCCCCTGATCTGAAGAAGCGCTCCCACTTGAGTTGTATATTGAGGCTGCTGCTAAGGGTCAAAGGAACTTAGATCCTTCAGACCAAAGTGGGATGTGTCAGTCGTATTAGCATAATTTCAAAAAACCAAATTTATAATAGTTTATGATTCTATAGAACAAAGTTTCTCAATGATTAAGAAAGTAGTCACCCAAAGGGGATGACCCTGACACACCGGCAGTGTGCACTCAGGAGAACAGACTTTCTTGATACCTTTGCACCTGCTGTGTCCACGCTTGCTGTTCCACTCTGATGATGTCAGGGTAGTTTTCATATCTAAGAAATTTTAGATTTAAGAGAGCACTAAATTTGCTGGAGAACTTTTATTTTGTATTTCTAGTCCCAATTCTTTTACTTAAAACACTCCAATAGCCTCATGCAACTTGTAGAATGGGACCAAACTCCTTACCATGAGTTTCTGTGTAAGCTCTCCGGCCCCACTTCAAACCATTCTTCCCCTCACACACCATGGCCTCCTTCCTGTTCCTCGGACTCATCAAGCCCCCTCTGCCTGGTCTTTGCAGCTGCTGCGTGGTGCGCTCTTCCCTTTGCCCTTAGTGTGGCTCGTTTTTCTTCTTATTTTGGTCTCCAACTAACTTGGTCATCTTCCCATAAAGGCCTTCCCTGACTGTCCACCCTAAGCCTAATGTCACCCTTCCCACTCCACAGACACGCACCATATTATTTTCGCCATGAAAACGTTCTCTATGTGCGGTATTGTTTACTGACTTGACTTGTTACTGCTTCTTTTCCTGTTACGAACTCTAAAATCAAGGGCCATCTTACTTGCCGTGGTATTCCTGGCATCTAGAACAGTGCCTATCACATGGTGTGCTTATTTAATGCATGAATGAATGCTGCTGCATAGCAACTAGAACTGCAAGCACCCGTCATTTTCTGGGCCTCAATTTCTTCAACTGTAAAAGGAAGAGATTGGTCTGGTGACAAACTCAGGCTGAGAATGGAATTTAATATTATCTCTGTTGTCTAATTGCTTGGGTAAAGTCTCCAAGCAACAGCATCTAGTACAAAAAAATGGAAATCCTCCCTGAAGGAAAAAAACCAGATCAACACAAGCCTCAAATAATTCCCACAAATAATTCCATGAAATTCCTTGAAAAAATAATCAGCTCATTTTTAAAAAGTTACAAAACGCAGGGTAACACACAACATGAGTGAGAACCTGTAGAAACAACAAACATAGAAATATTCTTCAGAGATTACAATTATCTGACAGGGAAAATACGATCAATTTGTTAAAAGAAATAAAAGAACAAAATGAAAAGGAGCAGGAAATAAGAGACTGTAAATAAAGACCAAACAAAATTGAAAAGAACCAATAGAACTTTCAGAAAAGAAAAACAAAAATAGCTGACATTAACAAGATAGTAGGTGGGTTAAAATCAGAAAGAACAGATCTGAAGAGAGAATGTAAACTGCTATGTGAAGGCAAAGAAACTATCCAGAACGCAGTTGAACAGGGAAATAGGAAGGATTACGATGTGGGGGGTGTTATGCACTGAATGTTTATTCTTCACCCTGCACCCCAAATTCATATGTTGAAATATGAACTCCAAATACGATGCTTTAAAGGTGGTAGGGCCTTTAGAAGGTAATTAGGCCACAAGAGTAGAGCCCCTATGAACATCAGGGTGTTAAGAAGCCCCATGAACATCAGGGTCCCCCTAAAAGAAGGCCCCCAGAGAGCTCTCTTGCACTCTTTCTAC